CTGTTACCTGAACCTCACCTGTATAAGAACTACCAGTACCTTACCTGTTACCTGAACCTCACCTGTATAAGGACTACCAGTACCTTACCTGTTACCTGAACCTCACCTGTATAAGGACTACCAGTACCTTACCTGTTACCTGAACCTCACCTGTATAAGGACTACCAGTACCTGACCTGTTACCTGAACCTCACCTGTACAAGGACTACCAGTACCTTACCTGTTACCTGAACCTCACCTCTATAAGGACTACCAGTACCTTACCTGTTACCTGAACCTCACCTGTATAAGGACTACCAGTACCTTACCTGTTACCTGAACCTCACCTGTATAAGGACTACCAGTACCTTACCTGTTACCTGAACCTCACCTGTATAAGGACTACCAGTACCTTACCTGTTACCGTATACACATAAACCCTCTGGAGAAGGACACTTCAAATGATGGATCAATGACCAGTGTCACGAACCGGCTCCGCCCACCGCTCGTAGCCCGTAAGAAATAAGGAGACAACGTGGAGATAAAGGAATAACAAAATATGTTGATTAACTAAAAGCAAACTTTATACAATGAACAATGGTGTCTGTAATCAGTAGTGTAATGAGTTGATGCATAGAGGTGATAATGAGGAGTGTTGAACGGTGCCAAACAAACTGTACAGCCGCAACCAAACTCCAACAGTGTGTCCGCATGGAGAGAGTCTCCACAATGAATGGGGGAAAGGTGTATTTATCCCTGGGACACACCCGAGTATCCCAGGTGTATCCCATTTCTCTGACGACCCTCTCGGCTCCGCCCACCGACATCCTATTAAGGAAAACAAGAACAAAGAGAGAATTTCGGCAGACAGAGTGGGAGGGTCGTCACACCAGCGACTCAAGGAGGACATTTCTAATGATGGGCCAGTGACCAGCAAATCAAGGAGGACATTTCTAATGATGGGCCAGTGACCAGCAAATCAAGGAGGACATTTCTAATGATGGGCCAGTGACCAGCAACTGTAGGAGGACATTTCTAATGATGGGCCGGTGACCAGCAACTCAAGGAGGACATTTCTAATGATGGGCCGGTGACCAGCAACTCAAGGAGGACATTTCTAATGATGGGCCAGTGACCAGCAACTCAAGGAGGACATTTCTAATGATGGGCCAGTGACCAGCAACTCAAGGAGGACATTTCTAATGATGGGCCAGTGACCAGCAACTCAAGGAGGACATTTCTAATGATGGGCCAGTGACCAGCAAATCAAGGAGGACATTTCTAATGATGGGCCAGTGACCAGCAAATCAAGGAGGACATTTCTAATGATGGGCCAGTGACCAGCAACTGTAGGAGGACATTTCTAATGATGGGCCGGTGACCAGCAACTCAAGGAGGACATTTCTAATGATGGACCAGTGACCAGCAACTCAAGGAGGACATTTCTAATGATGGGCCAGTGACCAGCAACTCAAGGAGGACATTTCTAATGATGGGCCGGTGACCAGCAACTCAAGGAGGACATTTCTAATGATGGGCCAGTGACCAGCAACTCAAGGAGGACATTTCTAATGATGGGGCCGGTGACCAGCAACTCAAGGAGGGACATTTCTAATGATGGGCCAGTGACCAGCAACTCAAGGAGGACATTTCTAATGATGGGGCCGGTGACCAGCAACTCAAGGAGGACATTTCTAATGATGGGCCGGTGACCAGCAACTCAAGGAGGACATTTCTAATGATGGGCCAGTGACCAGCAACTCAAGGAGGACATTTCTAATGATGGGCCGGTGACCAGCAACTGTATGAGGACATTTCTAATGATGGGCCGGTGACCAGCAACTCAAGGAGGACATTTCTAATGATGGACCAGTGACCAGCAACTCAAGGAGGACATTTCTAATGATGGGCCAGTGACCAGCAACTCAAGGAGGACATTTCTAATGATGGGCCGGTGACCAGCAACTCAAGGAGGACATTTCTAATGATGGGCCAGTGACCAGCAACTCAAGGAGGACATTTCTAATGATGGGCCGGTGACCAGCAACTCAAGGAGGACATTTCTAATGATGGGCCAGTGACCAGCAACTCAAGGAGGACATTTCTAATGATGGGCCAGTGACCAGCAACTCAAGGAGGACATTTCTAATGATGGGCAAATAGCAAGGCAGCTACTCAAGGACTTCTAGAATTGGAACTATGCCTATGTAAAGTACATGTGTGGCAGGTAGCCTAGTGGTTAAGAATGTAGGTCCT